GAGAATCTCTCAGATTGTCAGGTTTTCCTGGCATCCTCTTCCGTGCAGATGAGGTGTTGGTATATGTCAGAGATAAAAATGAACATAATGAGTGACTACACACAGTTCTGAGATGCTTTCAAGAAGCCAGACTCACTCTGAATAAGAAATGTGAATCTGGAAAGGAGCAGATAACATTTGTAGGCCACATAATTAGCAAACAGGGAATTCAGCCAGATTCAGACAAACTGAAAGCATTAATTGTCTTACCCAAACCACAAAACATTTCTGGTGTAAAAAGGTTCCTGGGCATGACAGACCATTTTGGGAAATTCTTACCAAATTTATTCATGTAACAAAATTCTTAAGAGATTTCCATAATGGTCACAATTTGCGGATCTGGGTGAACACACAACAAAATGCATTTAATAGAATAAAAGAACTACTGACCTCGCCACCTGTCTTGGCACAATACTCTAAACTACCCATCAACAGTAGCAGTGGATGCATTGTCTTACGGTTTAGGAGCAGAACTCAAACAAAAGCAGCCAGAAGGAGACCGGAGTCTTGTTGCATTTATATCAAGGAGCCTCTCAGAAACTGAACAGTGATATGCTGAAGTGAAAAAGAAAGCTCTAGCAGACACTTACATCTGTGAACAGCTCAGTGCATATCTGTTTAGCTTGGATTTTAACATAGAAACACACCATAAGCCCTTAGTGGATTCAAAACCACTGGAGGATCTTCCACCTAAGATTCAAAGATTTCAACTACAGCTGATGCAATTTTCTTTAAACATTGATCATGTACTAGGGAAAGCTCTCATAACAGTAGACACTCTACTCTAGAACCCCAATTAAGCAGCCACCAAATGAAAAGGAAAAGAGTTTAGAGAAAGATGTCAAAGTCTACATTGACTTTGTTCTGGCAATGATTCTAGCATCTGTCAGCTGACTTCAGCTAACTAGAGGTGAACAACTAAAGGATGAAACTTACCAGAAATTACTCAACTCTGCCAAAGAGGGTGGGCTCAGAGTCAACTTCCAAGAGACCTATTGTTGTGTTGGCAGGAATGAAAGGACCTTCTTGGGGCTGATGGCCTGTTTCTGAAAGGATAGAACAATTTTATCCCTACAGTACTACAAAAAGAAATTCTCTCCAAAATCCATACAGGACACCAAGGAATAAACAAGTGCAGAGCATGAACACAACAGTCTGGGTGGTGACCCAGTCTGAGTGGGCAAATGCAGACTTTTGTAGAGGACTGTGGGGTATGAAACAAGGGGGGAGAAAACCCAATCTCCAGAGCCAATCTCTACAAACCCAATCTCTACAAAACTACCTGACAGAGCTTGACCGTGGGTAACAACATATTTGCTTTTCTGGAAAGGACACACATTATTGTAGTTGATTACTTTTCTGGGTATATTGACTTGGCTATACTTACTTAGACTTCCTCAGCACAGGACAGCCAGAGACTGAAGTGAATATTTGCAAAACATGGAGTTCCTGAAGTCTCCATATCAAGCAATAGGTGTCAATTTATCCTTGAAATATGCTTACCATTCACACAGGACTTTGATTTTTAATATTGTACTAGTAGTCCACATTTCCTCCAGAGCATCGGTGAGGTGGAGAGAGCAGTGTAGATTTTAAAAAGACATATTAAAAACAATGTACCTATATAAAGCACCCAGGGCCTAGCAGTCAACATCACTTGTGTCTGGTCGATTCCCAGCAAAATGTCTGCTGTGAAGACAACTAAGGATGCCTGTATCTATGCTTAAATCTAAATAGCCCAACCTGAAGGAATTTTGAAAATGGGATTCTGAAATAAAAATTAAGCAGCAACAAAACTTCAGTGATTGGCAGAGAACAAAAGCGTTACCTGAACTGAGACCAAGGAGCAAAGGTTGGCTTAAAAGTTCCCAGACATTTGGAACTGTTCAGAACCAGGCAGACACTCCCAGATCCTACCTAGTGGAGGCTCCAAAATGACTTCTCTAGAAAAATCTGGTTCAGCTTAAATATTTCCCAACACAACAAGGCGTGGATCTGGGACCTGCAGGTACTCTGTCAGGAAGTGATCCCTCCTTCCCCTGGAGAACTGCACACACAAACTCAACAAAAGTGAGAACATGGCCTGGAAGATTGATCAGATCCCCTCAAAGGCTTGATCTTTTGAATATTGCTCAGGAGTATGTAAATGGGGTTGGCAAAGGGACATAGTATTGTAAATAGTTTTGAGGAATTGGAAGGTTTTTTTGAATTGTATGTATAGACACTGATTTATGATTTAAGTTTCAATTTATTATAAAGAAAGGAAGATGTACAGTAGTTTATAGAATTCCTGGTCCTCTACACATACCAACCAGTACCATTATATGTTGCATCATAGAGCTTAATAAATGAGGGAACTTCCAGTTCAGGGAATTCTATAATTGCTACTTAAAGCATGGCTCTTCGTGTTTGTCTTCACACTACAGCATGTGTCGCTGAAAAGCAGCATAGGGAGGCTGTCCCTGCTCATTTGTAGCTCAAGATTTGGGAATTATAAACAGTTTCCTGCAAATGTCTGGACTCTATTTGTTTAAAGAGCACTGCACGCTTCATAGGATGATAAATTCCATCCCATGGAGGAGGGTATTTGAAGAAAAGTCCACAAAGGAAATGGACTAGATTAATAACAAATTTCTTTTTGGAGAGGGCTTCTGCTTGGACAGCCCTTTCCATGAATCACTTTAAGCAGCCTGTGCAATGTATGCCCAAAAAATCAGCTCAATTACTCTGCAGAAGAAACCAGTTTAGGAAATTGTGGGTCTTTAAGCTCCAACAGAGGTTTGGAGGACCACCCCTGAGGGAAGCAGAAACAGATCAGGCACATGTTGATTTTTAACAGATAAAACAGGTCTAAGCTACAGTTTTGTCCAGTTATGTGTGTTGCTTCTATGAGCTATAGCCCCAGATTAACCCATCTGGCAATCTGCAGGTATATACTTGAGTCATTCCAGCCTGATGTTGGATAAAGAGTGAAGTGCCATGAGGTTGATGGAGGGGGATGAGAGAGTAAATCGTGATGCAGATCCCTAAAGCCTGGAGTTACGCCAGGGAGGAAAATGTAGAATGGTTAATCATTTTGTTAAATTGAATCCAGCCACTTAGCAGAGCCCTTAGGAATTACAAAGATTTCTAACAGATATTATTTTGAGGCAAAGACACTGCTGAGGCATTTTCTTAGATGCAATTTGATTATATTCTCTTTGTGGGACTTTAATTGTATAGTAAATATATGCAGTACTATTGTAAGAGTCTGCCAGCATTTGCATCAGAAATCCTTTATGGTGCGCTAGACTGGAGCTAGTCCTTAGGTGACTGTGCAGTAGGGAAGATAGCGTCCTCTTAATACAAGGTCAGAATTATGGCCTCTCTGCTCCACTGCCGGTCTTCCTGGGAGCAAGTCACCAAAAGCCATCGATCCACCCTCTTTAAGGGCCTGCAGCCAGTCGAGCTCTATTCCTATATCAGCCCCAACTGAGAAGGGGTCAGTTGAGGAGTGTTGCAGGAAAGTTAGCTCCTGTGGCTGGTCCTAGAGTAGGGAGGAGAGGTTCAAGGGGAAAGGCCTCTGTGCCCCTCCAACTTGCTTTATTCAGGGGAATAGCTTTGTATGTGTGTGTTTGTGAGTTTTGTATTTGAAGAATAAAATTGTTGCCCTGAGGGAAAGACCTGAATACACTTTTGGGAGTGGCATTAGTTCTTCCTGCACTGGGAAGATAGACAAGCAGTCTACCCCCTCCACATCACCCAGCAGAGCTAAGATCATATTGTATTCTCCATAGCACAATTGGGTTCTTCCAGGGAGCAATTCAGCCTCTTTGGAGCAGAATTCCCCTGTGATCACCTGGAACAGTGTAGTGCAGTATGCCTCTCACTGCAGGCTTTGATTAAATGGCACAATCTATTCTAGCCCACAATTTGCAGTTCTTTCGTGCATGTAATTATCCACTTCACACCTGCAACTGTGTGTTTACGCATGCCACCTTAGAGATGCACAGTTATGAATATTCAATTTCAAATATCCTGACTTTTGTGGGATTTAGTCTAAAACTTTATTTCACTGGGTATTTTTGTAGTGAATTGAGGTGGAAACAAAAGCAATGGCTATTCTATAAAAATTGCCAGCATTCAAGCCGTTCAGCACTGACATAATTCAGTATGCAAAATACAAGGAACCAGCCTGCTGAATAGCTGTCAAAAGCTATTTTTGTGTTTTTTTAAAAAAAATTATCTTTCAATGTGCAGCTGTGACAACTCTAGGAATTATTCTAGTTTGGCATAAGTTAGGGATTTTTTTTTGGTCTTGGCTAATTGAAAGGGCACGTTAGATATTTTTGTACAAATAAGTTATCAAGCATCTGGATATTTTCAGTAATTAAGTATTAACCACATTCTCAGAAGTGAAAAAAATTGCTCTCAGCTTTGAAAGGGACTGTATTACCGGGGGCGTGGGGGGGATACGGAAGCAATATCTTTGATCATTGTTAGGTGCAATACTTTGAACCTCTAAAATTAAAATCTTTGAACCTGTAGCCAAATTGTTTAGGTTTTTTGTTCTCATGGATGAAGAGGACATGCTGAATGTGGGTCATCCTCACTGGTTCAAATAATGGTTAGATGACGATTACTGCAGGTTGCCAAACAAATGCCTTAACAATTGCCACCTATTTTATTAACTACAATTTGTATATGTACACAGTGAGTTCATAAACATATATAATTTTCTATAGTCCATAAGTGACTAGGTGACTTTTTTGCTTTTAAGTTTTTGTTTGGTCCATGCTCATCAAAGAAATACTATACAGAAGTTTTATTTTACTGCCTTTTTTTTTAATAAAGACTGTTATAACATCTGCTCACTATTCGTTGGAAAAAACTAATATTTATCCTCCCTTTATTCTCTTTTGCTATCTCCCTTCCTTTCTGTTTGTTCTCCAAACTGCTGCTTTCACCCCTGCTCCAACCAGCTTGACTTCCAGGTCAGTACCTTCTGCTTTCTTCTCTTACCTCACTCGCTGTTCAGTGAAGCTTGATCTTCTCATTGATATAATATATTTCTTAAATGGTTTTCCTCTTACAATTTATTTTTCATCATTTTCATTATATATTCAGAATTTGTTTTTTCATATGATAATTTTGTCAGAAATTACTGGGAGGTTACCAGTTGTGTTTCAAGCTCAATCATCATTTTCTAAAGCACTATGTAAAATGATGGGGCTAAAACAATGTTATACATTTTCCATACAACAAAAGTTCTGGCAGTAGTAGAGAAGCTATGTTAACACTGTAGCTTAAGCCATTTTATTTTAATAAATCACAACGTTTTTAAAAAGTTTTCTAAGAAAAAGTGGTTTAGCCACATATTGAATCCACATGTTGTTTTGTGTGAAGATCTTTTACTTTTTTAAATTTGTTTTTATTGTTATTAAGGAATTCATCATTTACATACAATGTCATGTACTAGTTCAAAGAATGTGAGCAATAATAGCATACAAAAATATTGATAATCAAAGACTCACTTTTAATACTGATACTGTTGTGAATTATTGTAAATATAACAGAGCAAGTATGAGCATCAGAATAAATTACTCTGCAAATTTGACCTCTAGATCAGAAACTTTTAGCTGTTTGGGGCAGCTGGATGTCAGTTGAGCCAAATTAAGGACTAATATGTAAATAATCCCCAAACAGGTGCACAAATGCAGTGTTAATTTGTATTCTGGTCAGAAGTAATTCTCTACACAACCTCCCTCTCTTTGATTCATATTATTCTTGCTATAATTGATTCAAGTGCATTATTCTTGAATAATGTGTGTAGGCACATAGGTGCCATTTCATGGGATCAAGGGGTATACATGCATAAATTTGCAATCCATGCTTGGTATATTCTTCCAAGGCTCCTGTTATAGGATGGGTCTCTGGAGCAGCCTTTCTATGGATTTCTTTTAGGTAGTACCAGAATGGGGGTGAATAACTTTAATCCTGCCCTCCTCCTGCAATTGTGCCTCAGTTTTCCAATTTCCCACTTCTGTGACTGGACAAAGTCCAATCCAGCAGAGAGAAATATTAAGGGTGGCTGAATCAACCTTCAAGCTTCATTCTTATTGCCAGATTAAATCAAAACTTCTTAAAGGTTTGGATTGCTTAGTTAAATCTCCAGACCGGCAGCTCACTCCCCCATCAAGAACAAGACCATCTCATCTCCAGGTCCCTAAATCCAGTCCCATGACCTTTCATGAAAGATACATGAACCTATCAGCTCTCCAGTCTTTCTGCTGATCCCTGGTTCCTTTTCCTTTCCAAACTGTGCCGAGATTTGGTTATTTTCCACTTGCGCTGTGCAATGTGCTGTGGGATGGCATTGCCAGACTCTAGAGAACTAGAATGAGAAATGAGTTCTGGTCTTAGAGAGAACAGTGAAGATCTGTTGGGTTCACAATACTTTAGTCAGAAGGTATGAGAGTGTCTCTCTCTGAACTAGAAATGTTTGTTATATGGATTTAGGACAAGGTGTTGAGTTTTGCAAGCCTGGTTTTAAGGGATGGAATAAATTTCCATTGGGGTTGGCGTGACCAAGGCAAGGGTGTGTTTGTGGGCCACATGGGTCTGAATGGAAAGGGGATATTGGAGACTTATATTAGGTGGGGGCGAGGGAATCAGGGTGGAGGAGGTCCATAAATCTATTGCAAAAGAGGTAAATGATAGTACTTGGCTTTTATATAGAACTGTTAATCCATGGATATCAATACACTTCACAAAGAACGGTAAGTCTCATTATCCACACTTTTTAGACAGGGAAACCGACACAGAAAGGTGAAATGACTTACCAAAGTCATACTGCTTGTTGGTGGGAGGAAGATTGCTCAATAAATCATGATATAAACCAAAAGTTCATTAAGAAATAGTCAAAACTTATCAGTATGAAAGTATCTACATTATAATAGTTTCTAAAGCTGTCAAGAGTAGTGCTGGACAGAAAATGATTGTAAACTCAGATATCGAAAAATGTTTCTATTCCAAGTCAGGACGAGAAGTCTAAATCTTGAGAATGTTTGTGAACTGAACATCGGAAAAAACCCCTCTGTTCAGATCATTTTAAACATTTCATTTAGATAATTTTGAAACATTTATTAATTTAGATTTTTTAAAACTATAATTAGCTTAAATTTCAAAATGAAAAATTGTTGTGAACTGGAAACCTGGAATTTTTAATTTTGACAATTTAGAAACTTTTTTCAAAAAATGTTGAGTTGAAAAATTCATTAAAAAAGACCCTTTCCTGTGAAAAGTTTATTTCAACAAATGGACATTTTCCAAAGAAAAAACCTCTTATCAAAAAATTCCCAACCAGCTCTAGTCAACAGTAATAATAATAATAAAAAATAAGTAATAGACATTTTTACGACCTATTCCTATACTCCAAGAAAATAACACTTATTTATATCAACCAACGTATCAAAATAACAGGGACTCTAGAAATAAGCATTCTGTTCTTGGTCCTTATTATTAACAACATACAATAGAAAATTTGCTTTTTTAAAAAATTATTTTCCATTACTTATCATAGCTGAAGTTGAAGAAAATACTTAGCTGGAAACTGGCTTGATGAGTTACGGTGCTTAGATGCAGAAAGAATTTTTACTGTACTTCTCCATATGATTTAGCCCCCTTTCAGATGCCTATTTAAGACAGATGAGTTCATGGTGATTGTACTGCAGATGTCTTTTTATAACCCTCTCAGAGGAATTCTATAGCTTCTCTCTCAAAAGTTCAGTTAGAGGTGCTTTGAAATCAAATCCTTTGTAAATTCAGGTAGCTCTGCAATTACCTTACTGTACTGTATCCCTATCACATTTACATACAACTAAATTGCCTCTCATATTTTATTCTATAATTTTATGCTTGCAGTTGAAAGTAGACCTAGTTGAAACTCAGAATTTCTGTTCCAGGGGAAATGCTGACATTTTGAATTTTCCCTTTGTCTAGAATTGGAACAAAAATCATAATTTCAAAATTTCCTGTGAAATGAAATTCCCCAAAAATTATTAATGTGGGAAATATCAAAATTACCTTTTCAAAATGTTTCATTCTGATAAGGTCAAAGTGTTTTCTTTCAATTTTTTAACATAATATAAAGTTAAAGTGATAAACAAAACACTTATCAAAATGAAGCACTTTGACCTTTTCAGAGAGAAGCATTTTGATAATTTTTCATTGAAAATTTTGACAAAATTGATACATTCCTTCTAAACACTTTATTTAGTCAAATCATCGTTTTCAGAAAATTTTCAACCCTTTCTAGCTGAAAGGGAGAGAGAGTGGTACCAGACCCAGGTCTTGGTTTTCTGTACTTAGCAGTGTAGATTCTGGGCTCTTAGCTGTAGAAACTTTGGTGCTTCCCGTGAAGTGTTAGATGTTCTAGGAAATCCATAAATCTTCCAAGCATAACACTTAGGTTTTAATGTGGAAAAAGTTTTCTGTTTGGGCTTTCAGTAAACCATTGTTGCCTTGAGTTATTTCAATATCCTTCATTTTGCAATACACACTTTGGCTAATGAAATTTAGCTCACACTTATCTTCTCTGAAATACACTTGGCAGCTATATTTTCCTTTTTGCATTCCTGTGGAATGGCTGTTGCCATTGGAAATGAATGAAGAAGAGCTTCTTAAAAGCCTACTTCAAGTTGAAGGTTCCAACTGCTTTGTGGGCTTTTGGTCCCTAGGTGATTGATTATCCCTTCTTTTAAACCTTTCTTCAAGCCTTCATCGTACTAATCATTGTCCTAGGATGTGGGGTTTTTTTTATGGTCCCCTGACAGTTGTATAAACTACATCCGAGCTCTTAAACTCATTTCTTATTCATCATTTTTCTTAAGGAAGAAGTGATGCCTCAAGCTCATACAAAGTTTTTGCTACAAGTGGTCTCTTGACTTCCACATAAACTAGTCCATTTGTCTGCTAGTTTTCTTCCCCATACTACATGGCTTATTTTGGCAGCTTTGTTCCATTCACTAAGGCAGGCTTTCAGACAATATCTAGATAGAACTTCCCCCTGCCCCAAAAATCATCCAGACTGATGAGCCTATCTCAATGCAGAGGTTTCCCAGGTAGATAATTGTGAGATATACAGATTTTTCATTCTCAGGCAAGGTTCCAGGTATCGGATGGCTTGATGTCACATTCAGATAGAGCTATGGCAGAATCTTCAGTCTGCCTTTGTAACATGTCTGTATCTGAGCATTTCAGAAAGCCTACATTTATGCTAATTCACACTTTTTACCCCCACGTTATTCTTTGTATATTGAGGCTGGGCCAGATGATCATTTTGGGAGAGATGCTGTATCTTATCTCCACAAATGAGCACTCAGCCCACTTCCAAGGGGGGGTTGCTGCAGATTAGGATCCAAGAGGAGGGATATGTGGGTGCAATTTTATGGAGGACAAATATTAACGAGGTTGCAGGCCTCTTAAACCTCAAGTTGTAACCTCAGACAGAAAAATGTTCAACAAATTCCTAGCCCTACAAGGATGAGCTTGTCACAAATCTCTATCTTTCTCACATCAGCCTCAAAGTTAGTCTTCTACCTTGGTAATCTGGATAAATATTGGCAATTTTGAAATCTTTGGAGAAGATACTCATTATTTAAAACTTCACATATAGCATTTTTTCAGTGTTTAAGCTTAGCTTTTATAAATCACTTTCCAACTAAAGCTGATTTCATTTCTTTACATATGTAGTTTGCTTTTCGTGAAATTTGAATCTCATCATTATCCTATTCTGTTTGCAGTCAACAGCATTAGTAAACTGGATGAACACTGATTTAGTTTCTTCTTTATTGTATGCATAGGATAGACAGCTTCTAGAGAAGCTGGGCTGAGTAGTAATTAAATCCAAGGATTAAAAAAATCATTAAGAAACAATTTATTTGGAAATCATTGGTTGCTTATTACTGCAACACTTGAAAAACAGTAGTTTTCC